TGCAAGCATCCCCGGCTTTTCCGCTTATCGACACCGTCCACCGATTACGCTCGTTCTCGTGCACGTGATTTATTGAAATAATATCATTCAATCGCGCCGCATTTTACTCTCGGTCGTTCCTCGTCGCCGTGTCTCGCTTTGTCGCCGCACTGTGTGAGAGAAAAAATACCTAGAAAATAAAGAATATTTATATTTGGCGCGCGTACTGATAACACACATATATATTTATTTAAATGTAAATTTATGTTTAAATGTTAATTTTGTTTGAGTAGAACAAACAATTGCTTCCACAATTATTTATATGTTTTTTTTCTCTCAGTGCGCGTTGTTCTTATTTTTCTCCTCGACTACATTATCACAGGCCGAGTGACAAAGTTAGAGAAAATCTAGCCAGATATAATTCTCAAATACATGTACAATCTGTTGATCAAAGTTGTAACACTTTTCTTTGATGAATTCCGTAACACATCCCGTATTCGATAGGAGAATATGTTTCTTAGTAATTTCCAGGAGATACATTTATCTATTGAATACGAAAGGCGTCACAGAGTTCACCGAGGAAAGGTTTTGCGACCTTTAATCAACTGACTATACTCGCTGTGAATGTATAACATGAGTGCATAGTATCGAGAGTGAGCCGAATATTCCTCAAGAAAGTAGCGAAGAGTTTAGCCACCGAGGCATCCGATAGGGATCCGTCATTCTCGACGGGGGTTCGTCCAGAACTTGGCCGAAGCCCACGCCGAGCAAGCAACAGTCCCTGAATACCCGTCGATGAACGTACATTCATATAATCCTTGTCGAACAAGCCGGCTGTCACTTCGAATGTCTTATCCCGTTGTGCAAGGCCGCGCAAACTCGCGGAGGGAGATTGTTCTTCGGTGCATTTCGCGGATGGTCATCTCTCCGCGCGGTACGCTTCACAAGAAACCAAAACTTGCAAGTAACGGTCGCCGTTATTAGACTATTCCGTGAATGTAGTTCTCGAAGAGGCCTCGTTTCCTCGACAATCAAGACAGCCGTCTTGTAATGACTCGCTAATGAAACGCGCTCGTGTGTGATCGCGTATCAAAAGTAACGCGTCGATCTCGCGGGGCACGGATTGATAAATTCAGCTGGACGAGATGTGCTCGTCACGCGAATTCGTCATTCTCGACGAGAGAGAAGCCGACTCATGCGACGCACCTGGGCCCCTGACCGACAGAGATGAGGTCCCCGGTCCCTCCGGTGTCAGTTTCTCGACGTACGATTCCTGTCCTACACACGGCGGCTGTCACTTCCAGTCATGTCACGCGTCAAGCGACTTCTGCTTCGACTTGGCGCCGCGCGCTTCTGCTCTCTCGTTGCTCCTCGGCATTGTCGGACGGTTGTTCCCGTAGAATTTCGCCTCCGGCCTCTCTCGGCGCCGACCATCTCCATTTCATTTTTTTTTCATTTCTCATCCTACATCTGCGAAATTCGTTTAATTAACACAATTTTCACCTACCGTAAAAACGATGAAAACACATTTTTAATTATTTAATTCTTCTTTTTAGAATAACTGATGTATCTTTAAGTGGAGGAGCGTAATAATTAATTACGCGATACTCGATTAGCTAATTCTTGATAAATTTTGTATTTCTGTAGTAACAAGTCAATCTAGAATCTTATTAAAATAAATTTGTAGAGCTGATATCCGAGATAGGGTAAAAATACTAATGTTTGCATCTCTAGATATTGTTTGGTCTTTGAATATTTAAACTGAATTTAATATTTTAAAACATAAAATATACATATACATACATATGTCATACGTTACGTTAAGTTCAAATATTTTTATTTAAAAAGATCAAAGCAATAAGAATGTCCAGGATTAGGTACATGTCCAGGCATTGATGTTTGGTGTCTCGAGACGTTAGCTCGGCTGATACTTCAAACGCATCCATTGAGACATCGCTACTCTTAATTGCGAACCATGAACCGCGATCTCCTTCATCGCGCGCGGACGACCGGAGACGTTCGGGGCAAAACGATCGTAAATCGTCTTGGGCCAATGGGACGTGGCGAAGGCAGCGTCGGGGCCTTACGATCGGCGGCATTGGGCAAAGCGTCCGGTCCGCGCTGGCATGTCCAATCCCTCGCGCGATGCCCTCCAAGCGATTACCCACGTAGCCCTAACCCGATCGCTCATGCTAATTTCATAACAACTACCCTCGCGCCAATGGGCGAGCACCGGCTTCGAGAGAGAGAGAGAGAGAGAGAGAGAGGAGAGAGAGATAAAAAGAGATAGAAAGAGAGAGAGAGACGAGCCAGGACGATGAGCGAGCCTAGGTGGAAGGGGGCAGATGAAACTAAGAGGGCTCAAGACGACGGGGCCCACCTTCTCCTGTAGAGGCAGCGGAAGGCGCCTATTTCGCTGTGAAGCGCGCGTTCGGGCCCTGTAGAGGCGGATCGTAAAATGGAGAGCTCATCCGCAGGCTCTCGTCTCGAACCGAGAATTACCGCACGCGGGAGACTCCTATACGAGAAACGCAGATCGCCGGGGTCACGTTGTCATCGCGCGGTTGGAAGTCGCGATCGTTTAAAATTAACCCGCGCATCCAGGGATTTATCGGGCCCGACGAGCGCGCGGCGGCATATACATCGCGTAACTTATATCGGGAGAGATGTTACCCACCACGTGTGTCGGAATATGACGTATGGAAAAAGAGGGTAGCGAAGGTATTACAGTCGTTATTGACGTCCAGCTCTCTAGTTCGTTTTTAATTTCTTTTTCTGCCTTTTCTTTTTTTATATTTAGCCGGAGCGAAGGAGGGTACGGGCATCGATAAAGTGTCGATACGTTCGTTTCCATTCGACACCCGCGGTTGGGATATCTTTAACGAACGCGGAGTTTCAGCCAGACGCCGCGGTATCCCGGTCGGCTAGCTGGCTAGCTAGCTAGCAAGGAAATAAACGCGGTGTACGTGGACGTAATAAATATTTCTCTCGACGGAATCGCAGGGACTCGCACGCTGCACGCACGCATCGTCACGAGATGAACTTTGAGTTTCCATTATCGCACCAATCGCGATCTCTTCTCGCGTGTGAGCAGATTTTTGCAATACGACTCTCTCTCTCTCAGCGCTTCGCGTTTTATTCGTCGAATGATTTGCGGCGCCTTTTGAAATTCCTCGCTTCCTCGAGAACTCGTAATAAATTACGTTACACCTTAGACTCTCCTTCTGTAACTACGGCTATCTCGAGTAGTACATTTCCGCAGTACAGGACGCAGATATGGCGTTTCGATTCGCTCGTCAGGCGATCGCGCTCTAGTCACGTTGGTGAAGCTGGCGAGAAGTAGCTGCGGGAGACGATCATGTAATATACAATTAGCGCGACACGCGCGCATAAACCTAACCGACTTCCGGATACAATGTTGACCTGAAATTATTACCGATATAAGAACCTACGCGAGGCGGCAAGGAAGGGCGGGAGACGGGGACCATGCGCGGCGCAATAATATTTCGCGTTCCGCAATTTTTTGCCCGTCCGGAGGTACCTTCTCTGAGCTCATCGCCGAGTCGCCACGACTCGCCGGTGGCTCTCTCGGCTTAGCCGTGGGTATTAATTTCACGAGAGAAAGAGAGAAACGGAGGGAGAAAGGCGGTGGCGAGGTGGAGAAGCCGCTGGGCGAGGGAGGGAGGACGGAGGGGTCAGGCGCGGCAGAACAAAACGACGTGGAAGACCATCTATGAGATGAGAAAATAATAATAAAGTGGAAATGAGCGAGCCGGTCCATAAATTGCTCCGCTCCTTGTTAATGGTCTGGGGGCCCGGGGCGACCTCAGCTAAACGTGGCCCGGTCTGACCCGACTCCGGACCCTCTTCTTCTCTCCTTCTCTTTCGTTTTCTCGTTTCCTCCCGTTCTCCTCATGTCTCTCTTTCTCTCTCGGGGTTTCTCTTGGTTGGGCCCGGCCGTAGGATCTGGTCCGACCCGTTCGAGGCACTCTTGGAAGGCTCATTTCTGTATTTAATGGACGTCCAGAGATGGCCACCGAGTCCCTGGGCTCCCGAGAGCCAGAAAGAGGGACTAAAAGGGTCCAGAGGACACAAAGGATACACGTCGAAGGGTAGAGGTACTGGCTGTGATTGGCGACCGGGCGTGGCCGTACCGACAGATATCCGCTCCTCTTTAAACGCGCCAAAGCCGAATGCAACGCTGAATGCACTCGGAATGTATTCCCTCTTGAGATCGCGAGCCTCTCGATAGCGAGGTACGAATAATGGATGAATAATGGAAGAGTCAAGGAATACCGATGCGAGGCCACTTGCATGAGCGAATGTCTCTTTGATGTCACACACAGAGCGACGGAGAAAGTTTCTCTTGACTACTGTTTAGACTTTGATCGAACGTTGTGCTTTCAATTAGGTTTATTGCTGTTAACTGCTTATCTGTGTGACTGAACGTTATTGAGATTTAATCAAAGTGATTAAAAAGAAGGTTATTAAAAAGAGGATTATTTTATTAGTTACTAAAGTATATAAACCGAGAAAAGATCCACGTGAGTTTAGAAATCTTCGAGAAGAGAGATGATTATTGCATTAAAGCTTAACATTAACTAAACATATAAGTATTCTACTTCTTGCATATACATCTACATCATAAATTTTTCTTATTTTGGTACTCTTCATAATTATACGATTAATGTCATACATTTGATGAATTGATGTAGAAAATATGAATTGGTATATCTTTAAGGATAAATGATATTAACAAGAATCTTAAAACTTTATAGTACAAAATTATTTTTTTTATCTTTAATCTCTTTCAGAGTTTATGTCTAAACTCTGAAGAGTAGGAAGGATTTGTAATTCTGCAGAGGGCAGCAGAAATCAGGAAGTTCGTTCGCATCCTCTGTCGACAATAAGTAGAAACTGAAATGAACACGTATGACCAGTGAAAGGAAAACAGTACAATTTTCTTTCCAATTACAAACAGAGAGAAAGTAGTAATTACAATATTAAATATAATTAAATTTTATAATCAAGAGCATGACGTTTTACTAATATAAAAAGAGTTTTAAATAACAACATGGTCTTATGTACAGTCGATAAAGTAGGTTTGAAGAATATTGAATGCCCATGCGTTCATGAAAATTTCCTGCAACTAGTACAATAGAGAACAATTGTTTATTTCGAATACTCGTTCTTTTGATATATCAAAAAATACAACAGTTTTGTAGCTAATATTATTAAATTATTATTATCATATAAATACAAAAAATACAAAAAAATGGTTAAATTTAAGACACTCGGACTTTTTTACCCTAAAATTCATGTTTTTGACAACAGTAGATACATTCAATCAAAGATGCATCTATATATTGATAAAATCAACATTGTCAAATCGTGACAGTTTAATGTAGTTGAGTGAAAAGGCGATGGAAAAATGGGGCAAGATGAGTTTCGCACGGAAATGGGTTATAAAATCGGACTGATAATAAAGTAAATATAGAGCGTTAAAGTAAAAAAAAAAATTATATTGCATTTGCATACTTTTTTGTGACTTTTCTATAGTAATCAAACACATACTGGCTGGCCTGCCTGCACTTATCCATGGAAGCTAAGAACTCGCTTTGCGAGAACCTACCGACGGTATGGCAGCATACGATATCCTTCTCGATACTGTCAAATGCAAATGTAAATGCCGACTTTGCATTCTGTAAATAAATTATCTTTACACTTAGGAAAAATATACAATAAAAAATTTTATCTGCTCGTCGTTATAAATACCTCTAACTGTATGTTGTCAGGATCAATGATAATTTTTTTCGTTTCTTTCTCAATCATGCAACTTACAGCTGCTACAGCATATTTCATGGAAAATCCTGCATTCATTAATGCCAGACATGACGCATTAATTGCACAGGCTAGTAACTGAAAAAAAAAAAGTATAATTTGATTCATATATTCTATATATTACATTTTATATTACACATTATATATACATTATTTAATACACATTATATATACATTATTTAATACATTTTATATATACACATTATATATACATTCTATATATACATAGAAATTTATACACGATAATATCACATGAGAAACAAAATAAAAAATCTTACCCCACCATGTTCTTGCATTTCTTGTAAATTGATGCATAGCGCAGCACCAGGATGAAGCGTAATCATTATAGCAGATTCACAAGTCTCTCGTATATATGCTTCAATTAATCTATCATCCACCTCTGAAATGGTTCACGATTTAATTATGAAAGAAATATATTGAAATAATAACTAAAAAATTGTATAAACTCACTGGCTGGTCCCTTGTGAGGTGTATATGTAACTTCTATAGAAACTCTGTCGTACAACATTTTTTGAGTTTTTGTTTCTATGGGTCCGTTTACGCCCGCGATAATTGTAGTCTCACCTGCACATGAAGGAAAAGCACAACATGAACAACGTTGTAGTAGGAATGTTGTTTACAATGATACATGCCTTGCATAAACATTGCAGAACCATCAGATCTTGACAGTAAATTAATTTCACAGTTCATTGGTCTTAGCACACAATCAACTTCGACTTTTTCTTCAGTCATCTTGTATGAATTAAACGGCTTTTTTGTTCACACAACAATTCGCGGAATAACTATTAGAAAGAGGTTAGAAACCCAAGTACCTCTCAAACCTATCGACCGCGTAAAGAATATGAACCACGTGGTCGATAGGTCGTAAGTACTACCAAACTTCTGCTATGAGTCGCCACTGTCTCTAAAAATCAGCCTCTCTGACCAATCAAAACGCCTTAGGGAAAAGACGATTTTACCCAAGTAAAACAAGTTGCCTATTGGTTAACGTTCTTGAAGTTAACTTTTGGATCTATAAGATAACAAGTCAATGTCAATAATTCGTCTCCATTAATGTGACATCGATTAAATAATAGTTTACAGTTGGTTAATAGCTAGTTCATTTACGCATCTTACAGTTATCATTTAGTATATATTTAATTTGTATCCATGCACCAACTTGATACTTTTATATCTAAATGATCTTTTTGGATATTAAAAGTTATCTTTTGGGCGGACATTAGTTAACCTTTTCAGTAAACAGAAACTTAACTTTTTTACCGAAAATAAAGTTATCCTGACCTAATTTTATATAGCAAAATGGAATATTTTAAGATAACATTGTTCTACTTGGGTATTAGTGAATTCGGTAGCTTGCACTAGTGCACACTAAGATTTGTTTACAGTACATTTTTATATTTAAGATCGTGTCTTAAATACATATTTGAAAATATTTTAGCTAATAAAATGATTCGTACGGATGATTCGTACATATTATATTACTGGTTAAAAATATTTGAGAATTTATTTAAGACAATTTTTAAATATAATAACATATTATGAACAAGTCTTAGTGCGAGCAACCGAATTCGTTATATGATAAATTCAAAGACTGTAATCTAAAAGTTTAGTTAGTTTATGCTAGAGTGCGAACAAAACAATAAGCGAAATTAAGGGATGCCGGATATAAAACTTTATCGACATAACATTGACTTTTTTTTGCAAAGTTTACGTCTTGTTACTTGCACATAATTGCAAACGCTTTTACACAACAAAAGTGCATGCAAAAATAAATTGGAGCATTGCTCCAATCGCAAGTTCTAATTGCAAGCTTCTGTGCTGTATGGGTAACGTCTATGTGTAAGAAAATTGAAATGACAATGTGGCACACACACTTGCATAACATCTGAAAAAATGATAGCAGTATTATGTTAGCGCCTATTTGACGATCGTCTTTATTCCATAAGTATGTATGTGTACATAAGTTCAATATTGTCGGTAAATGATAATAACGTTTTCTACTTTTTGACGATTGCTCTACATTATCGACGCTTATAAAGTTCGTTGCTCGCTCCGGCATCCCCTTAAGTGGGAGGGAATAGAAAGAGTAATTTATATCAATTCCTCGTATTTCCTGAATATCTTGTGAACGTATACGGCGAAGCGAATAATAAATATTTCGCTCGTAGGCGAAACGTATAAGTCACAAATTAAACAACTTGTGTGTAAGTAGTATAACAACTGCGATTCATCTCTTTTATTTTCAAATAACTTCGAATAGTCCGAGTAATTTTTTTCACTATTTAATAATGAAAAATAACAGTGCCTTTCTTGAGACTTAAAAAATATACTATTAAATTATATGTTTGAAAAATGAAAATCCGATCAGAACAAGTCTCAAGATAATCAAACAAAGTATGTTACATCAGTTCTTTAATGCAGTTACGTGCACGCATACATACATAAGAGTTCAGATTCCCCATCCAAATGCATTCTAATATACTAGAAGTATTATAATATACATGTTACATATACTATAGTATTTCTAGTATTAGAGTGCACCCAGATGGAGAACATAAACGTATCCTAAGAGAAAAAAATATATAATATAAATACCATTAACGTACGTGCGGCGCAATAGCAAAAAATATATAATTACTCATCTTCTTCTTCCTCATCATCATCTTCTTCCTCTTCTTCTCTTTCTTCTTCACCTAGCACCTCTTCTTCTCCTGCGCGCAATAAAATAGTAGATTATTTTAAGAAATATAAAAGAACAAACGTTGTTGCGACATATTTTTTGATCAATCGTTACCGGTTGGTAACGGCGGCGGCGAACGCGCAATTCGATCCGCCTCTTCTTCTTCAACAGTGGGATCATGAATCTCCATGACCTCCGGTCCAATCTTGTACTGATCCTGGACGGGCGGCATGTTGGGTGGACTATAGTTGTACGCGTTGTACTTGTGGCCCCAGCCGATGTACACGTTGGCGAAGCGTCTGCGAAAGGACACCATCAAAATTACATTAGCGTAATCTCGCGCGCATTAATTCCTCTGTAACGTGACTGCAGCGGATCAGCATAATTTCCTCCTTCACGTTAGTCCGGACCGCAAACGCTCGCGGCAGAATGGGACGGTTATTGAATGCGCGGCGAATATTGCGCGTTGGAGGATATGAAATAGATTTCAATCTGCCTCGCGCTAAATTTGAAGCTACGTTTCGCGGCGATCGTTTTCCCGGAGAAATTTCGTCTCGACGAAGTTGCAGGTTCGTTTTAATACGGGCAGCCCCCCTGTAAGTGGTCCTCGCCCTAAAGGCGCGACGAAGCGTTAAGCGCGCGACGGTTTGCGTACTTTCCAACTGCGAACGCGAAAGCTCCGGGCCAGACGTTCGATCTGACCGCAGCTACCGCGATGTCCGGCTGCATCCGCGACGATTGTCTGCCGGTCCACGGCATCACGAGGTCGACAACCGCGTCCTCGGATAAAGGAGTTAATAGAGGCGGGCCGATCTCTCTTTGCTCCTTGAGCTCCTCAGCCTTGGTCGCCCTGGTTTTGTCCTCCTCTACCTCTTCTTCTCCTTCGAGTTCCTCCTACATGATTACGAGGATTAACTAAAAGTGCTTCTGCGAATTTTTTACACTCAGAAAATATAATCTTATTCTTAGCGAAATCCTCTTATATATGACCTCAAGAAGATTCTTGTAAAACTAAAGGGAAAATATCCTAAGCGCAATATTTTTAAAGTTAAGGAAATTTCGTCTTTCATTTACAGTATAGATTTTATTCTCAATAGAAATTTTTTCTAGTAAAAAATAGAAATTTTTTCTAAATTCAAGTATAATTACACTTCAAGTAAATATATTCCTCTTAATTCAAAAGAGAGAAAGTTGGCAGATAGTATCTGGTAGATTTCCGATCAATAGTCTACCTTATTAGAAGAGAAGTACTCTTTCGATAAAAGTTTCTGTTTAGAATATAAGATTACAGGAAATATAGCATGTTGTAACTTGAGTTCTTTTATTAGAATAGTTATTAGAATATTTTCCTTTTGATTTGAGAAGAATCCTCTTGAATTATATAAAAGAATTCCACAAAGAATAAGATTATTTAATTTTGTATGTACAATATCGATTAAAATATTTATATCGACTGACATCCGTAATTTTCTCCTCCCTCTCGGGGCTCCACCAAACTGTTCGTCCTTGCTCGAGAATATACGGGCTGTGGTGGCACCAGTTTGAAGGATCCACGAGGTCCTCGATCGGCGGTGGATCGTAATACACGTTTTCCGAAAGCTCTTCTTCCGTATAAACTGCACGCATACGATGCAACTTGTAAATAACACGGGATAGAAATGTTATCGCGCCTTCGTTCTCGTTGCCGTGTCTACCGGGAAGTTAATCTAACAAGGATCACAAGTTTACAAGTGTCATATGTTACCCTCTGTCCTCGTCCTCTCCTCGTCCAGCTCTTCGTCCTCGACCTCTCCGCCGAGCGTGAAGAAGCCGATTGGCGATACGTGAGTAGCCGCGTTGATCCTCGCAATTTGCGCGCGGAGGTAATTTTTCTCGACACCGGGGAACGGCGGGAAACTGTGAATCTACGTCATAATCGTGAAATTATGTGATAACACGGAATGAAACCGGGATAAGACGACGAGACAACGGAGATGGGATGAGACGATCGAGTTGAGATTTAGAGATTAAAAGCCGACTTTCACGCAGATTTCATGTTACTCCGCTCGATTTCTTTCATTCGTTATCGAGCGATTACTCTCTGTGCTACGTGTATTCAGTAACATGAATTTTTAACGCATTTTATCGCGTTTTTATCCGCCTTTTAGCTCTATTCATCTATCGTTACCGTGCATCCGCCCCCATGGAGTTCCGACACTCCGTCGCGCGTGCCGTCAGATATAACGGATAACAAGACGGCTACGTCGTTGTACAGTTGCGTTATGGACGTGTTCGCAAATAACGCCGCTCTAACCTGGACTGCTCCTTCATTAAAAGGCATCACGTACCGGTGTCTCCAAGTTTCCCGTGCAGTATCGGACAATCTGTCGTGCAATTACTATCTGCTGCGGCGTAACCGCCGGAAGTTCGATCCACTCGTCCAGCCCGGGCGCGTTGCATACAAAATACACCTAAATAGCGTCGCGCGTCGTGAGGTAGCGAGACACGGCAAAGAACAAGAAGAGATAAGGTAGGAAGAATGCGCGACGTGAATATTCAATTCGGCGGACATTGAACGGCCGACCCTTGATATCACCGTAATTGGATCCGTAAACGCTCACCTTTTTATTGAGACCGTTCCCGATTCTTTCGCCTGGCACTTCCGCCAGTGGTTGCCACGGGTTAACAGGCAGAGGCGGAAGGCCAAACTCCAAAGGCTCGCTCCCTTCGTCCTCGCGCAGGATTTCCGTCGCGGCTACTTCTTCCACGAGTTTCGCCGTCGTCTTGGCCTCTCTTTCTTCCTCTTCTCTTCCCGCTTTCTCTCTTTTAGCTTCTTCCTGCTATTTTCAAAGAAAATACAGGAGTACTGTTAGAAAGGATCTTGACGTGGAGGTTCTATACTGCGAGAACTGCGTTGTTTATTTACTTTACCGAAAGGAGCTCAACTTCCTTTACCGTGACAATTAGTACTACCAATATATCACACCTTCCAAAACACAGTAAATTTAACGAATCAATGAGTACAAATATTAGTGATTTTATTAATTTTTTTTTCGATGTCGTCTATGATATATAACATTTTTTACACGTCTATGATATATAACATTTTTTAATTAAGTATATATATTTTTAATGACGAGTTGAACTATGCGCTGTATACCTAAGAGATAAAATTTTAATTCTACATCAATTTTGGAAATTATATAAAAAAATTAAGAATGATGAATCTCTGAGAGGATATAACATTATACAGGCTATTGTCCTAATCGTTTTGCTATCATTGCTAAGAGTTGGCTTTAGCAACAAAAAATGCATTTTTTATTGTGAAATATAAATTTATTAGTTGAAATTAAAAGCGCACATTTGTTTATCAACAGTTTAAGAAAGTAGCAGATATTTTTAAATATCTTATGCACGCGAATCTCGAGAATTCAACTCTATAAGGAAATTAATTTTACAGAACCTTATCATTTTTAATTTCCTTCAATTTTAATTTTACAAAACTCGTTCCATACCGTATTACGCACGTCGATTTTTTCCATTAATATCTCAAGAAAAAATCTAGTGAAATAATCTAAAATAATACAATTTTTATATTTAATTTAACAAATTTGACCTGTGTGTGCACACGAACACTTAAATCCAGACACCGTATATAATTAATGATATATAAAACAGAAACTTTTCTCTTCTTCACACACACAATTTCTATTATAGGTTTTTTTATCGACATTGCAAATATATACAGAATATCTAATACAACGCGTAGTTGAACTAAATATTTACCATTTTACAAATAACTACAATTATTCCTGTTTAATTCACAATAAGAATATTAATCGCGTCAGTGTTACAATAGACGAAAGAAATCTGAACAATTCGATCGCGAATGAAAGAAGTTACGTGTTGCTCATATAATCATGTTTGTCGCGTTTTAATCGATTGCAACACTCATTTACTCCAAATAAATTAAGAAAACGCGGTATAGACGCGTGTGGTAATGAGTGCCGAGATTTCTTTTCTTACTTATCGATTATTACTTATCGCTCTACATCGACTTATTCGTGTGTTATAACCATTTCAAGCCGCGGCATCAACATCAGGTTTGGGCTTGAAATTGGCGCACGTGCGACTCTGGCGGTTGTTCTCGCGCCGACGCACTGCTCGCTTCCTAAGTGAGAGGTGAACGACCGCGTACCGCAACGAGCAAATGGGCGGAGGGGGGATAATGCTTATCTGAGCCGCGGAGTGGGGGTAGCGGCTCAGTCAGTCGCGTGCCGTCGCGCAGTGCGTACCGGAAGTAATAGTACGCTTCGCATTCCGTTCACGCGTCGCGAGTGACTCATTCATAGCTCGCTGTAGCGATGACGCTGAATAATTTAGCGCGCGGATAGACAAAATTGTTAATAACTTCGCTTGTAGATATTATAGCGACTTGAAACAAAGATCATTGTAAAGAAAAAATTACCGCGCTCCCGACGAAAATTATTCTTCTGTAGAATAAGTAAAATAAGTTAAATAAATAATTTCTGTAAATGTAATCGTATAATAAATAGGAAAGACATCGTTTTTTGCGTTCTTGTTAAAGTAGACATTAATTATTAATCTATGATGAAAACCAATAGGACAGCTCGGTTTGGATTTCTTATGCAAAACGTTAGTTTGTTGTTTTTTACGGGTATAAAGTACGACTTAAAAGAACAATGAAATGACAATAATGGGAACTTTCTATCTGATAGTAAATATTTTTTGCCGTTGCGTCGAAGTTCAGACAGTTAATAAATTTAATTTCGGTAGAAATGACACTAGCTTTCGGTATTTCAATAACACATTTTAATTGCCATAGTTACGCTTTAGCTTCTGCGTCTAATCCTTTTTCTGTCTGCAGCAATAATGCATCAGTAGAAGTTTAAATTTGAATTCGGTACATTAGTGGTAATCCTCTAAAACAAAATGAAAAGACGGCATTGTGATAAATTCAAGATGTGACTTGCGAAATGTATTGAATTGGCGATCGTTATGATCGCTCGGTTATACCGGGATTGTTTACGCGTTATTGTTTGGCAGGTGACGACGGTTGGTAATTGCCTGGAAATGTTTTTGTTGTTTTCTGCCCATTGTTTTGCTATTCTCGTGCGTCGCGTATTTGTCCGTGACCGAGTCATTATGTCTCGAGCCGACGAACGACGCACCACGGACTGTGCGTATATCGGCGCGTTAATTATCAATTCCGTTACTAAAATATTCTCGTCGGCACCGCGTTTATTCAAATACGTTTCTGCGAACGAATCTACGCGAGTGTCAGTGTTAATGCCAGTGCCATGACGAAGTATCTTGAGTGCCACGATGGAGCAACCGGGAGAATGTTGAATCGGGAAATCAAGACAGAGGAAGCCAAGCAGCGAAACATCATATATTTCCAGGTATGTCAAGTCAATTATTTTAATGAACGTTTGTGATTTCAACGGATGTTTAACGAGCTTATCGAGGATAAAGATATATCCGAGTCGAAATTTAGACTGATGTTCATAGTTCGTTCTACTTGACAAATTATTACTTAACAACTATAACTTCATGACTTTCTGGTTTGAATCTGTCAACCTGTATTTATTTCACACGGCAGGAAATATTAATACAATTTGTCAAATACCATGAATATGATATGTAATAAGTTATGTTCTCAGTTGGAAATTGCAAATAACTTACAACTATGAATATCAGTCTTAAAATCTAATATAAATTTCACAAATGCTGATTTTCACGTCTAACAATGCTTTTTGGGCTGCAAACTCCAATCATGTTTACATTTGCCAATGTCTTATTTCTGTTTAACTTTGCTATTGCGGAATCTGAATTAAATCTCCATTGATAAATAGCATTATTAGAAACATAACTGTTATGTTTACTGTTATGTTTAGCTACTTCATTATCAGCTCTCTTAAGAGCTTTATCGAGATTCCTAGCGCCCTTATTATAAATTATTTAATTATATAAAATTATTTTTAATTATTTTTAATTATGAGATAAGCATATAAAAGAGAGATATATTTATCTCAATCTGTTACGCTATTTATTCTCAATCTACAGCGCTTTTATATTTTATTATAACACATTAATTATGTAATTAAATAATTCTGAATAGAAAATATTTCTAAAATATTCAATATAGAGAGAACGGCAATAAGTAACCGTTTATATCTCATCGAGGTAGAGCAATAGTTTGTATAATGTTATGTCTGGAGATTCTTTATTAATTCTTCAAGTTTGACCAAAGAATTTACAGGATTAATGTAAAACCAAAATTTCGACTCGAATATCTTTATCAAACAATAGATCAAATTGCACTGCATAATGCAATATCTTTTATACGCCAGATTATTATTTTTTCTTGAATAATCCGGACATCGATGAAAATCAAAAGAAAGAAATATATTGAAATTTACTCGCGTTCTAAATTCGATACCAATATTTTACCTTTAATCTTCGGGCTAACTCGTCCGCCTGAAGTTCCGCCTCCACCACGTAATAATTCTTGGGTTTTCCGAGTATCTTGCCCCAAAACCTGAATTATACACGAATTAAGAACATAAAAGTGCGTGTAGAACGGTGCGACACGATTTCTGAGTGTAACGTCGCGTAAAACAGCCGCTCAAGGCGAATACCTAATATTCTCAACCGGTATCTCGGAGGCAAGCTTGCGAATCGATAAATTAAGCAACACCATCTCTTGTCGCGGCAATCCTATACCTATCTGCTCGAGATAAAACAAAAGATCCAACATGTCGGGACACTTTTTTTTCTTGCCCCCCTCGTCCTCCCCCGCGTCAGCCATCTTGTCTCTCTCACCCTGCTCGTCGATCTGCTGCCTTACGCTCTGCCGTGATTGCGAGAAGATTGAAAGCCGCAGTAAAACAAAGATTACAGTTCGCCTCGTTTGCGCCATTTGCATGTTACTTATACTCGATGGGAGAGTCGAGTTTGTATCGCGCTTTCATTATCTGTTACTTGTCAGACCGCACCTGGAAGAGTCTAATGAGCTTCTTGGCGTCGTCGTACTGCACGGGTGGTACATACAGATCCCGTAGATGATCCGTCTTAGTCTTAAACCTCTCTTCCTTTAGTTTCCTGCTGTACTGCTCAAAGATATCGACAGCGTTTCGCGGCCGCTCGACTAAGATCTTCGCTAAAAGCTCAGTTAAGTGGTCGTATCTGAAATAGACGCGGAGAAAGAGAAAAAGGAAGTGATGTAGCAAAAAATTCCCTACTGAATACTTCATTTTAATATTTTATTGCACTATGAGAGAGAAGGAAATTCTCTATCTCGAACAATTGGATCTCCTTAAATCGCGTAATCATGAGATTATTTCGTGAATTATCGTTACTATTGATAACGATATCGGTATTGTTATTGGTGGCTCCGCGCGACGGTATCGGCAATATTATTAATGGCTCCGAACGGGCAATATTTAAAAGCGCGCTTGTTATTTCAGAATTAGCGCGGAACAATTGTTTCCACCGCATATTTCTTTGCGGCCGCGCGCGTCGGCGAATTCTCCGCGAGGATAAAAAATGCAATAAATGGGCATGAAATTTATCGGGAATGCAGGAGCGCGCCGCGGGGAAAGAAGGTTAATACAATCGCGTGTGTTTGTTTCTTGTTGTCGGCCAGGTATTCGGGCGACGCGGGCTTACAAGCTGTCACCCGATTCCGAGCTGCGTTTCTGAAGGTACTTCTTTGCGCGCTGGATGTCGTGCTGCACGCTGGGTACGTCGTCGGGAGGCGCCTCTTCCACGTTATAAGAATACGCCATTTTTGCTGCGTTATTTTTGCCGTGTTCCCGCCAACCGGCTCGCAAAATTACAATCGCGTAAAGTCGTCGTGTCCCGTCGCCGGATACTCGGTAATATTATCGCGGTAACGTAACCATTAACGCAAGCTGCCTCGTCGTTCGGTAACTTATATCACAATCAGCGCCTCCCCACGGATCTTTCTTCCTTTTTTGTTTTTTTCTAATCGTTGCTGTTCATCCGTTTCTTCCGTTTGTCGTCCATCCTGTGTGTCGTATCGAAACCGTCGCGCGATTGCTGTTACAGAAATATAACACTTTATCTATACTGACCTAATTATTGCAAACCACCCACGCCGAAAACGCTTTTAATCAGTGTCAGTTAAAAGTGGTAGTTGAAACGATAGATAAATGCTTCCCGTGTGTATCTGTGCGAAAGTGCAAAATATAAAAATTGTGGTCGACAAATTAATCTAATAGTCTAGTAAAAATTGAAGCTTATCGGTGTCTAGCCACGAAATAGTAAATTTGTATCTAACTACTAGATAGTAATGTAACGCTCATTTTTCCTAGTGACTTGATAAACAAGTTAGTTGATGATTAAACAAACGAAATTACAGTTATACGAGGACAAACCATGAGTAATGGCTAACCAGTGACGTTCAATTCTGCTGTTTTGTATTTTTTATGAGGTTAACGTAACATCAATTTTGATGTGCTACTTAATTTTAAAATGCTAGTGGTAATATATAGTAGCAAGATTACGTATTTTAGAATAATCATCCACTCCATCATATTTTGGCGTAAGGACTTGACAACGGCTAGATCACAAACCCGATTCTATATTTCAGTGAATGATCAGTAATAAATTAATAACGAGCTAATGCAGGCTAGAATTTGATCTAGCCTATACTAGCTAGTTGCTAGCTTTTAATTTCGGCTGATTAGTCATATTTTTATTCGAGTATTTCGGAATAGATAACACTTGAAAAAAACCACGTTCAAAGTGCATACATAAGAGATCGTAGATCGTTAATGAGGTGGACATATGATATACTATTGTGCCCAAAAAGTAAGACCAATTTAAATTTTTTTTTAAATCTTTATTTATTATTCCAAATCTATTTCGTCGCCTTCAAAGTAATCCCCCTCAGACACAATACACTTATGCCAACGTTTTTTCCAACCCTCGAAACAGTTGTTAAAATCGATTTCCGGAATGGCCTTCAAAGCTTTCTTCGATTCAGCTTGTATCTCTTCAGTCGAGTCAAAACGGTGTCCCCGGAGCAGTCTTTTGAGTTTAGGGAATAGCCAGAAGTCACACGGTGCTAAATCAGGTGAATATAGTGGTTGTGGAACGATATGGGTCGAATTTTTAGCGAAATGGTCTCGAAGAACCAATGCAGTATGAAATGGTAGGTTTATATCTATCACTGCAGTGTTTATATGCATCACGTAATACGGTTTCCAATCGTAGGATTGGAAAAAACGTTGGCATAAGTGTATTGTGTCTGAGGGGGATTACTTTGAAGGCGACGAAATAGATTTGGAATAATAAAGATTTAAAAAAAAAATTTTTAATTGGTCTTACTTTTTGGACACAGTAGTATTTAAAATCATCAACTTACACATGTAATATTGACAGTAGCACGTAATGATGATCTGTCAGATATCGGGTGAAAATGTGACTTTATATATCATACGCTTCCTCGCGTCGTCAATTACGCGGCCTTATATGTGACACATTCCTGGAACATTCGATAAATTAAGGAGAGTATATGAATGAAGAGCCCAAGTGAATGGAGTGAATCGCTCGCGCACGGTATCTATCAGCTTACATCCTGGAGCATAGTTATCGTCTATCGGGTGTCCTAAATATGACGGACGCCTCTCGAGGTCACTGGCTGCTTCCTTTGACGCCCACCCTCTTTTCATGGCGTATAGTACACGTGTCCTGCCTTTAAAAACTCTCGCGGCAATAAACGTCGGGGCGTCGTGATCAAAAGAGCTTCCGAAAATTTATGCCGTTCAAAATAGTACAAACAGGGGCGACATCGAAATAACGTGTTACGCTTGTAAATTCACGTGAAATAATTGTTAAGTCGTGAAATAGAAACGAGATACGTCGTTACTTGTTCATTTACTTGTTTCTTTATTAGCATAAATGTTTGCGATAAAAATAATAATAAAAATTCTATAGGTGCGCGAATTTAATATCAAGTACACATATTTTCCTCTTAAAAATTATCTAGTCATATACTAATTTTTCGATATATCCGAGGAATAAATAAATAAATATATATATATATATATATATATATATATATATATATATATATATATATATATATATATATATATATATATATATATATATATATATATATATATATATATATATATATATATATATATATATATATATATATATATATATATATATATATATATATATATATATATATATATATATATATATATATATATATATATATATATATATATATATATCTTAAAATAATTTAGCGTGCGCTAGAGGAGCGTCCAGAAACACATCCTTTGATCTATGTGTATACACAACCGGTGTCCGCGCACGCATTTATAACGCTCCCATGCACACACATATGTGCATGCGTGTCCCACCCATACGTTTTGAAATACTACAAAAATAGAATATCATTTCGGGCAACAATCTCTCGTTCTTCCCTCTCTGTCTCTCGACAATGCTGCGAGCCAACATCATACTCTTGATAATATGCAACTTTATTGTGCAACTGTGTGGTGTATCACGTTAGCGTGACTAGCGCAGCACATTATGTAGATTGCGTTTCCATTATGTCAGCCGCCAATATTCATTGATGCAATCGGGAACGCAAATAGACTGGCGATGAACGCGGAATTGCTATTAATAAAATCTGCGATGCTTTAGAGAGAGAGAGAGAGAGAGAGAGAGAGAGAGAGAGAGAGAGAGAGAGAGAGAAATTTGCGATTAACTGAAACAACTATGGAAACTTGTCGTTCCGCAATGTCAAAATTTAGACTCACGTCTCAACAAACACGCGCAAATCAACGCAACGCTATTATCAATTCTACGACATCCTCGATTGATCCAACACAGTCCGTTCACGTGTGAAATTTTTTATCGACATCACGTGTGCACGGGCGCGCCATTGATTACAATTCGTCGTCGACAACAAGGTGGAAATTATGGCCGCGCCGTATCCGTGAAGTATTCGACCAAGCACGTGACAAGCTTTAAACGTTAGATTGCAAACAGACCCGGAATTTCGTAATTTTACGAGTTATAACAGGTGGTGTGGTAGGGGCCGCGGCGCGACCGCCACTCTGCCAAACACGATTTTCTGCGGGTTCAGCTACGTCACTCGGCGCATTCCGGCCACTTCACCGCCGCATAATACCGCGTAATTAACAAAATGGTATGCCGATTAATAAAATGCGATCATGATTACCTGGCTAGGCGCGCGCGAGCGACATGTATCGGATGGACTGAAGGACGGACGGACGAATTCGGAGCAGAACCGGATTACCCGACTCGCCGAAATTCAATAGCCCGCGCCCGTTTGACGCGCGCGTATTGTTCGCGGCGACGGCCAGATGCGTTAATTAACAAAAGCCCGTTAATGTATGAGCGTCTATCGCAGATGCGATTTTCGACGATAACGATGATAAACGAGTTCGGATAATCGGGCGCTCGCTCGCGCGGGACAGTTTAATAGCTCGGTAGACGAGAGCACTCGCGGTATTTCCCACATCGATTTCATTTCCCGTGACGATCGCACGATTGCGCCCAGCCGGGTGAGGAAGAGGGAGCGATTTTTAAAGAATTTTATATTTCAACCGTGTCTTCAATGAAATTTCTTCATTGAGCTGCATTCGCTTTAAGCGGCTGCGCGCAATTCACCGACACCTGCGTCACTTATACCCCCTCCCCTTTCCTCTTCTTCTCACGTAAAAGTTCTCCGATATTTACAATACTTACTCTGGCGGAGTGAAAGATGAGGAGAGAGAAACGAACGTGAGATGAAACGAACGCGAGGATTTCGTTTAACGAGAATAAAATCCCCGAGATGCTTCTTGAAGTCGTTCAGCGCGCTTCATCGGCGATACGCTGAAGGAGGAGCGTGTGTACGATAAATTCGTTAATCGGGCGGCATCGGACGCACTTCGAATGTGAATTCGACGAGATCGCCTGTGAGTCGGTGTCCGTAATTTGCGAGGGCGGCGGAGTATGAATGAGTAAGAAATCCCCCACCATCGGTCGTCTCTCTCAATCCGTCTCGTTCTCTCGGCAGTCGACCACCCCGTCTCTTCCTCTCCTCCCTCTCCTTCTCTCTATCTCTCACCAGCCCTCCTCGTCCTCCCTCTCCTCTCGCCACGTTTTCCCTCTTCTCTTCCTCTTCCTCTGTATATCATCGCTCTTTCCAGCCCCTCTCCCTCGCGCGGCCGAAAGCGGCTCATATCGGGGGTCGGTTCTCTCTCCGAGTTCCGCGCTTCTTTCGGTCAGTTTTCTCCCGTGAGTTGCACGCGTCCTTTCGTGAGGACCGGCTTTCGTGTCGTTGCCACAGCTTTCGAGCTACAGCCTCGAGGACCGACCAGGTTAACCGACGTTGTGTTAGGATAAGAACGACTCCACTCCGCATCCTGGATTCCTGCGGGACGGGGGAGTCGCATCGGTCATCATGCACCATCGACTGTCGAGGTTAGTGTTAATGAGCGCGCGATACATACCTCTTTCGGTTAATTATATTCAGTTTATATATCGGTCAGGTATTGATTGTCTTCTGATTAGAAATTTCTCACCTACTTTTGATGTAATTAATGCATCGAACAGAATATCTTTCTATGGAATAAGAACAGCTTTCGTGAAATCATAAAATCTCTTATCGCGAAGACATCTCTGCATTGTATCTTTTCCGCAACATAAAGATGAATAAGTATAGCTCTGTTTAAAGGGGTGGGGAACAGGTAAAATTAGGTAAATTAAAGTTTGATGGGAAAGGAATATAATAATAAATGTTGACCAAGTACGTATGCATTTATACTGTCAAGCACTTATAATTTAGTAACCAACATCTTGCGTTCGTTTTTCGCATGCCTGGATCACGCATTGTTGACTTCTTATTTAAATGATGACACAAGTTAATAATATATTTTGATTTATTTTATTATTTAATTCACTTTGATATATTTTAATAATGAGATCTTCAAGTCTGATCGCGACCAATTGTTAGACGCGCTTGACGAAGACAAGCTACTGGTGCTACCGATGAAGAATTCGCGTCAACAAACGCGTGACGTTGGCGGGAAAGAATAGCGCGCCGCGAGATCCGAAAAAGATCAACTCCACTTCGAGTAATATGCGATCCCGAGTCTTTTCATTCAAGACGGCGAAATTACGCTGCTTCCGCGCGCGGGCATTCTCGCAGTTATTAAAACGATTTAGTACGAAGTGCGCGCGGGAGTTCGCGTCCTCCCGGATCTTATTATTAAAAGTTCCACTCTTCTCCCGTCTTGAAATCGTCCGCGAACTCCGGAGTAATGTCATCTTATCTTGAGAGTGCAGTCCAACTTCTCCAATGATAATTACCGGTAGCGGCGCTACGTGGAAGCGAGCGAAGATAAAAGATCGAGCGCGATCAACACCGAATGGATCGCGTTGCAGAAGGACGCGCAAGGTCGTGGATCGGCGATCTCGATCTCACAATTTCGATCGGGCGGCCGACATGACGACTGTCCCTGCCACTTTTCGGGAAACGATTATCGTCTCTCACGACATCGCGCTAAGTTTGCCGATTTGGGCGTATGCTAATGGATTCTCTCGCGTCCCGACACTTTTTCGAAGTTTGACTTTTTCATCGCCGTGACACACCAACGAGACGCCTCCTTCGCATTGTTACGCAAGTCAAATATTTTATAATGTTTTACGCCAATAAGCGGGCCCCCAAGGACGCGCGGCATGCCTCACGGCGTGCGTCTTCGCCGAGAAGAGTAATACCGGTCGTTACTATTAAGGAGCCATCGCGGAGCGCGCCTTACATTATTCATCCGTTTCCACACGCGGCTTCGACCGATTGCTCGTAAATCGCTCGTTCCCGACCGCCCCCGACTCACTTTTCATTAAGACGGTTGAGTGAATGAACGAATGAATGGATTTCCAGAAGAGACCGCGCGGAGGGAGACCTCAATCTTTCCCATGGTACCCTTGAGGCACTCGAGGCGAAATCCTGAACTCGAACACTGCGGCACGCGTTTTCAAAAGCGAGACTGGCACTACCGCGGGATTTTTTGACATCACACACGCGTAACGCGTTACAAATAAAACGGAGCAGAGACGGGGATTGCGCGCGTGCGCGATTACGCGCCGACGTAAATTCATTATTTCCGCACATGAAAATGATAACGTTTTACGCAGTTCATAAAAATTCGGAGCATTTTCATCTCGGCGCGGTGAAATCTCGAAATGCACGTGTCACGCTTCCAGTGTATAACGAATTTCTCATTTAAACCGCGCTTTCCTCGTGCATTTTATTTTTCTGCTTTTCGCGCTACAGTCGACTGCGCGCAAAAATCGAAACAAGGTAAAAGTGCCCGGACACGTACCTAACTCTGAACATTCTTATTTTTTCGGTCTGCAAATACGAATACTTCAACATAAAATATATGTATAAAAGTGAGTCAATAACTATTGTAGTTTAAAATATCTTTAAAGCGAAAAACAAAGGTGATCTTCGGAGATCTTGGAAGTTGCTTTACTTAGAGAAAAAACGTTACCATAAAACATTTTTTTCTGTATATCTTTCCCTAAAGATTGTCAAATGTGTTCTGACAGCCTAGAAATTTTTCTCAATGATGGCGACCGCGCTTACAATCAAGATAACTTTAGAGAATATTAGCCGAACGTTTGCTGACTCATTTCCTTCGTGAGAAAACATTCGATACCATTGATTGATTAACGAGAAAGTTACGCTTATACGCGCGCGTTCCGCACAGTTTAATAATCGCCGTTGTTTCCTTTACGCTTTACACTTTTTGTCTCAATTAGATGTGCTGTGTATCGCGTATGCGCGTCGCTCGTCCAGTTTTGCGGCCTTAGGAACGATGCGTGTGCACATTCGAGTGGAACAAATTGTTTTCCTGTATTAAACGCGCCACCGTCGAAAGACAAAAACAAGATGACCTCCATTCTCCCCGGCTATGTAACACCGATGTTTCGCGGCTCACTTGCACGCGTGTTCGCGCATAATAAGAATCGCGCCGACATCCGCGCATACATTACGCACGATTTTTCGGCCGGCACGACGATAAAAATTCGCTATCACGCTCGCAGCGTGCCCTCAGCCACGAAAATCGCACACGACCGCTCACGCGCATGTAACTCTCCGGGAGAAATCCTGGATCCCCGATAGACATCTCTTATCGGTGAACGCAATCCGATAACGAGACGCGCACACGTTTCTCCGCTCGGAGAATGGCGAATTTCAATGCCGGGCGCGCGCGCGCGTGGATTTATCAGGCAAAAATGTAACGCACCGCGACGGTGGCGCGGGGCAAGGCAGGGACGAAATTCGCGGCACCGACTTCGATGTCGGAAGGCCGCAGGCCCGTGGTCCATGACCGGTCGACGCAGCCTCCTCCCGGTTCCAGAGAGAATCGGAGTCACGTTCAGTCAGTGGCCGACTCCCGTCCGCGGAGGTGGTGCGCGTTATCGCTCCTTCGGCTTTCTCAGCATTGTCGAGAGGGCTTTCTGCCGGCTTCTGCGTACGTCCCCGGAGCTCATCCTCATCGGGCATGACGGACACTAGGAGCACGTGGTTAGTCGAAAAAAGGTTTAACTCCCTCCACCCAATCCTCCTTCCCTCTTTTCGCGCCGCTGTTAGTCTCTCTGTATGTCGTGCCAGAAAGAGCCCATCGCGTGTCTCACCTTCGTGACTTCCGAACGCGTTTTCCAATTAACCAGCGCGCGCGAGAGAGAGAGAGAGAGAGAGAGAGAGAGAGAGAGAGAGAGAGAGACGGAGAAAAAGAGAGAGAGGATCATCCGTTACGCGTTTTATTTCTTTTACTTTGCTTTTTTCTTTTTTTGGGGGGAGGACTTTGGAGGAACACACACACACACACACATATACCCACACTTAGTGTGAGACTGTATCGATCTCCGTTTCTGAGCTGTCTTAATTAGCCTGTTCTTATGAAGCGCACGGAGGTGCTCTGTTATGAAACCGTTCAAAGGGAGTTTTAATTAAAGGCCGAGATAGTTTTTGTGTGCGCGCGCGCGGTTTGTTCGCTCGCTCACTCACTCGCTCACTGTCTGTTGCGCCGCCGCTTCGTGGGATGCTGCACCAAGTGTACAACGCAATAATTAACAATTATATTGTTTGTAAATTGTTCGGATTCGCGTTCGCCACCCCTGTTTTTTCGCGCTCGTCTCGCATCGATTTCAACTCTCGGCAGATCGAGAGGTCGCGCGAGATTACGACGAGATACCGTCAAGACTCGAGCAGGCGAGAGATGTTCCACGACAGTAATTGCTGTGCGGTATTGAGCGAGAGTGAGCTGTCACGAACGTGCGTGATGCCTGATCGAGCGCACGGTGTGCTAAATCGTTTCCGCGCTCGATCTTCAGCACTGAAGTCGTCATAGATATATGACGCGCCTTTTTCCTCTTCTATTTTACTTTTTTTTTTATAATAAATAACTCGCGCTCTCGCTAGTCTTCAAATTGTATAGGTGCGCGCCGCGACGATACACCCTGCTATTCGATTCCCATTGTGATGAAGTTGAAATCCGCGGCAGGCGATAAATATGCCACGTTGCACCATGATTCAATGCGTATCTATGGTACAATACATATCAACACTATTTTTTTTTATACAGAAAATGTCCGAAATGCGCTTCTAGCACGATTCACGTCACATCCTTTACGTTCTTATCTCACACTCGTGAAGATTCTATACAAACCGTTATATAACTGTATATATAACATGTCTAAAAGTACACGCCCGAAAACTCGCTATCGAAAGAGAGAAGTGAGCGACGAAACATCGAAGAAATTTCTAAAGCGCTCGTCGATTTCCCGGTCATTAGTTGTCTCTAGTAATGGCGCGCAATTCTGAAGTTTTGATAGCTCGCACACTTACGTGTCCGCGCTTACAGTCGCGAGAGAAACGAGCGATAAAATTCTCGTTACAGTTAGCAATCGCCGGTCAGACAGACAGACAAACAGACAGACAGACAGTCCGACAGTTTGGTCGTTAATCGTGTGAAAATTCCGCGTGGAAAACTCGCCGTCTCTGCTCGCCTAGTCGACTCGCCTATACTCCTTCCGGCACGCATGCACGCACGCACGCACGCACGCACGCACGCACGCATGCATGCAAATCGCACATGCTGAGAAACGGGAGATCCTTTCTCGGTGGATTCTCCGAGGCCTGAGCGAGACGGGTTGGTCAACATGTGTGCCTCCCCCAGCTAGGGCTTGTTCGTCAAAGAGAAGTCCGACGTCCAGTTCGAGCTTTATTAGACGGCTCGCTCGATTTTCCAGCACAAGACATGCTGCGAGAATTGTGCTACTCCTAGTGGCGATTTCACGTAATCGTAGCTGCGAACACGGTTATCATTAAGCTTCCGCCATGCGCACGAGACGGCAGCTGCCGCATTTGTCCCTGGCGTTATACGTTTTTCACGTCCGCTTTCTCCCTTCCG